TCATAAGTAACCTTCGCAGGATCATGAGATACTTTTGCAGGATCCTGAGAAACCTTTGCAGGATCATGAGATACTTTTGCAGGATCCTGAGAAACCTTTGCAGGATCATAAGTAACCTTTGCAGGATCATGAGAAACCTTTGCAGGATCATGAGAAACTTTTACAGGATCCAGAGAAACCATAAGTTTGAGTTGTTGAACTTGTTGTTGTAGATGCACATCCAGTAATTACTTTCATTCAAATCCATCCACTTGTTCATGAGATATTTTGCTAACAGACAAATAAAGAAACCCGCTCACACACTTAGACATGAGCCAGACTCCCTTTAGGTGACGTGATAATAAGATGGAATGTAACACTAATAATGTCAAAATGAACAGGTGAAAAAATAAAACTATAGAAAATCATGTTTTAKGTAAATCTGCACTAATCTGCTGCCAAACAATCTGAAGAATATAAATATAGATCATATTTATTCTGTTTTCTGTTACTAAATGTTTTCATGGAAGCAGAAGGGATTTTCTCTGACAAAATGAGCTAACGGTGTTTAGGTTTCCACCATCATAAACCTGTTTTCTGTCATTTCCTTATGTTTCTTTTTCACGCCTGAAAGCAGCTGTAATGAAGCTCTATTTCTGAACATTTTATTAAACACATCACAGATTTGAATAAGGCTTATGTGGCTCCAAACCAAACGTTTTCCCACAAAGATTGGGAAGCAAATACAGCTGGGAGGGATGGAATATTCCGCAAATACGACACAAGCTTATAGGAAATCACTTTTCTCTGATTTGCCTTTATTAGAGACAAATCTGTGCAAAAACACATGACAGGAAATTGGAGAAGTGGTTCTGAAGACTTGATGTTTGTTTTCATGTAATTCAGTCAAAATTTTCCCTCTGTAAATATTAAACCCTTTTTATTGTAACAAAAACACGTAAAATGCTGTCATCAGATGTGTGTTTTCATTGAGTAAACATAGTTTTTAGTACTTTTTAGTCATTCTAAGCTTTTATATGAACTCCTCTGTTAAAGTCAGGCCACACAAAACTGACGAATCAGCAGTTTTCTTGCTTCAACACACCTGGTTTAAATGATCGGGTCGTTAACAGGTTTCTGCAGAGGAGCTGTTTCAGTCACAAGTGTCTGAAACTTGAAGAGCAGTGGCTCTAAGCTGAAKGTTTTTCTACAAGGTATTTAAAGTTTTCACTCTGTTTAACGCAATATTTTCAGCTCATTCTGAAACACAAACCACAGTTATGAATTCAAGACTAAAAGCTGTGACTTTGTGACGTATTCATGTTGTCTTTTTTAAATGCAAGCAATCCTAACAGAATTTAGAGATGTTGACATTTAACATGCGGTCTTTGGTTGATGAGCTTTGTTTACAAAACAGATGTCCACATGGTTTTTAAATAGTTTTAATTTCCTTACTTTCTAAGACACGTTAAGTTGATTTGATGCTGCAGTTTGCCTTGTAATATTTTATTCATTATCTGCTACGTTTGCATTGGATTTTATGAAGTTTTATTAGTTTTTATGATACAAGATGCTTCCTAAAAAACCAGAATGTGAATCTTTTCCTAAAATTTCATGGCGATATCTTGAACACTGAGGGAGTTATGATCAAAAATGGATAAGAACAAGGTGAAATGGTCACAAAGGCCCCACTGGTTCTGCTGTGAACTGCAGCAAGAAAACGAGCTGATTTCACCTAAACAAACATCTATAACTTCCCTCAGACTGCAGATAATCACATGATTTTGGTGATATTTTGTATGGTTTGTAATGTTCTTTTAATCTGTCAGATTCCCTTTTTAACAGTGTGTAGGATAAATTTTTTTTATCAACATCCATTTTTATTGTTTTAGCTGCCAAGGTGTTTCCTACAGAAAATGTGGATCTTTTTCTAAAATTTCATGGAAATATCTCGAACATTAAGTAAGTTATGATTGAAATGGTCACTAAGGCCGGACTGGTTCTGCTGTGAATTGCAGCAGAAATGAGCTTGATTGAACGTAAACATCAATAACTTCCTTCATACTTGAGATCATCACATGGTTTTGGTGATRTTTTGTAGGTTTTTAATGCTTTTTTAAATCCACTGTTTAGATTTGATGTTCATGTGGGACAAAACTATCTACATCCTTTATAAAATTAAAGACCTAGCATTCCTTGAACAAAAACCACCCACATCTTTTCCTGCCAGAGTTTAAATGTCTTCTTACATTGAAGTTTTAGTCAAATCTCCAAAATAAAGTAAAATATTGAGAGAGGTTGTGCTCGATGTTTGAGTTGTGGGTGACTCAGCCACCTGCAAATCAAATTTTAGCTTAATCTCTGCAAATGTGACAGTTATAGCTTCTATTGTTGGGTTGTTCTGATTAAATCAGATGCAAGCTTTATTAAAATCCATCCAGTGGGGCATGAGATGTTTTGCTAACAGASCTGTGATGGGCACTGAAGGAAGCAGGTTTGTACAGTCAGTGTTTTACCTGCAGGATGGGGTTAAACTGAGGTCTGAGAGCTCTCAGGTGGGAATGTGAGCAGCTGTGTGTGAAACCAGGAGCTTCAGCTCCATAAATGTATGGAGATGAGAGGAAAGGAGGCAGTCGCTGCCACACTCAGGTCCCGAAGAGCAGTGAGAGATGAGCAGCTGTTGCCATGGTTGCAGCATCCCATTATTTTTACAGGTTTCAGTCGCAGCTCCGACACAAAGCCTGTTAATCCCAGTGGCATTATTTATTTCTGACACGAGAGTCTGATTGTGCCGACAGGACTCTGAACTCTAGAAACCRACTCTCTGCGTTTTTGTTTTGGCCTCGCAGCTCCGGTCTGTGATGCAGAGTTTTTATTTAGTTTGCAAACTTCACAAACCACAATCTGTAAACAAAATGCAGTCAGAATTTTCCTGCAGTCCWAACCAGATTTTTGGTTTTGCTTCTCGTTTGACTTGAAGACGGGCTGTGAAGCTCTGCAGACGTAGCTCCATGTTTGATGCTTCGAGTCATGAATATTTTATTGTGATATTTGAATACAGCTGAGGCATCGGGTACCTTTTTTTTAGGCAGTTTTGTGGACTTGAATGGGTTTCTTTGGCTGCTTCAGGATATATAGTCAAACATGAATGATTTAAAGAGACAGTGGATGGTATAGGCCACGCCTCCTGTAGTGATATGTGTTCAACTCTATGGTTGTGAATGATTCTCTGGTTCTAATACTTTTTTATATTTTAGCACAATCTGTATAACTTTAGGCAGCATAGCCTCCAATTCCACATTTTTTTTAAACCAAAACACCCCCACCCAAGCTAGGGCTGTGCGGTATATGTGATAGATGATAGACGATATAAAGTTGGCCTACAGTAGAAATTTACCCTCTACCGTCCTGTGGTCAGTTACGTCATCGCACCTGTGTCAACATGGCTGTGAGTGCAGAGACAACTGAGCAGGAGGAGTTCAAATATTCTGAAAATAAATGAAGAAATATAGTGTTTTAAAGCACGTTAACGTGAGAATAAATCCTCAATTTCCCTCTCCCGCTGTAGAAATGTTACGTCGTGTCAGGGGATCATTTCCTCCCTCCTGCTGCACGTCACGCAGAGCGAAGCTTTAACAACCGTAGTTGTTGGAGAAAAAAACTTTTTATTTTATGTATTGTTACCCACAGAGATGATAAATGATGTGGACGTTCGTTCAGTCATAAATCCATCTTTTTAATGTAACAGTTCTGCTCTGAGAGCAGCAGAGCAGCAGCTAAGTTCAGCAGGTAGAAGCTCAATGTATGGCAGGCAGATATTACATTTATTTGGCTGCATCACACTGCATTCCAGTTATCTGAAATTGTTTAATGACAGAACTATGTGCATCTTAAGGTCCTGTCACACTATAATATTTTAGGTAAYTTATGCCAACTTAGCATATTTTTTACGTCCAAATGACTAATTTTACTTGAAGTACTGATTATAACATCCACTTTATTTTAATATTGTTGAAAATTTGAGAAATGTTTTTATTTGTTGTTGAAACTTCTGTTATGTTCATTGGCAGTACAGTGAAAATGCTGGGTTTGATTATGATTACAGTTTTCTGCTAAATAAATGCTCTAAAAATTACATTATCTTTGCTTTTTATGATAATTTTCTACCGCGATGTATACCGTTACCGTAAAAAGATTTAATTTATACTGTGATATGAATATGATGCCATACCGCCCAGCCCTACCCCCAGCCTTAGAGATATTTCAAAATGTCTCATGAAGTGCTTCCCATCAAAGGTTTTCATCCTGTATTTGGCCCGACATCTCCCTCTGACCTCCTGACATTTGAAATATTTCCATAACATGTCCCGATTACTCAACAAAGATAAACTCTGACAACTTTAATCAATGTGTGAGAGGAAAGAGCACCATGTGTCGGAGCAAACTGTAGAATCTCAGCAGAGTCAGAAGTGTTTTTTTGAAGCAGAGGACCGATGATGCCAGATCTCCTGCTACTGAAGCAGAATAAAATATGGCCGCCTCCTCTCCTCTCCCCCAGGAGCACTGAAGGAGCTGCTTTGATGCATCATCYTGTTTCTTCTTCACCCCAGAGTTAATTTAGGATAACTGCGAGCATTTACTGTCCTGGGCTGACAGATGTAGCAATAAAACACGGCCTCCAAAAACACAAGCGCTGATGTCTTGGTGAGACATTTAGTCTCATGTTGGAGTCTGGAGGAAGAAAAACTGACTACAATCAGGTTACAAACTTACATGAAAGTAAACTTTTAAAATTTACTGTCTTCTTACAAAAACAGCTGGACTGGTGGACTGTTTCTGTCTTTAATTACCTGACAATGAAAATATAAATTCATAAAAAAGAAGTCTAAACATTTCACGGGTGAAACCCAAACCAAGGAAGCTGCTTTAAATGTGACGAGCATTCAGCTTATTTCTGCTCAACCTTCTGAACGCATCAGTTTCAGTAATAATTACAATTTTTTTTTCTTTTTATTTTTCAGGTTGCCTGTTTGAGAACGAGCTGTGCTCATCGTATGAGATGTGTGTCAACGGTAAGCTGCACACACACACACACATTAAACCTCCTGATTTACAAAACACATAATTCATCGCAATATTTACACTTGCCTCCTAATTTACACTAGATGTGGTTCTGGTCCTTTCCGGTCCAGTCCGTTCTGCCCCGCCCTCTGTAGTAAATACGTGACCATTATAATCAGAGTATTTACACTGGCTCTGCACGGCGGTCCACAAAAATTAGATTTGATCTTATTTTTGCCAGATGCCAGGAAAAGGAACGAGCACATCTGTATTTTCAAAATAATTCACAAAAGGCGGACTAGTTTTGTCGAAATYGTAGCCTGGTAAAAACCAGACCCTCATCCTTCACTTTGCTTCAGACGAGGGTCTGGAACCTCTGCTGTAGAAAGTGATTCTTGCTGGAGGCGTGGCCTATGCTGAAGTTTAAAATGGGTTGGCCGCAAGTGCTAGCTCCACTGTGAAGGAGGCTAAGCTAAGAAGCTAACCGGAAATCGCGTGGAGCCGAACGAGATGGCTGTAAATGAGAGCTGCTGCTTTGTCAGACAAATTTAATTTAATTTAGAAGCCTTATCACGGACTGGCTTCATTCACTTCCTCCACTGCCGTATGCTAAACTAACTAGCAGATACTGCGCAGAAAATCAACGTCATTTTAAACTCMGCCTTCTGTTTGCTGATTGGCCCAGGTAAAAWAAAYTAMAATCAGACACTGTTAAACTAAATGCTTACAAAGCAGGTACAAAAAACGCTGCRATAGCTTTGTAGCTGTAACTTGTTGTTMCTACTTCTGCAGCTCAGTGTATTCTCTAAGCTCATGAGCGCCCCCTACCGTTCCCTGAGCCTGAGAACCACCAGCCTCCACTCATGTCTTTTCTCAGCCGTTTCAGCTCACAGAAAACGTAACACAAAWACGTATTTATTTTAAACATCAGCTAAACTGTGGAAAGTCAGTTTTATTTTTTAAAAGCCAAACATTTTACTGTTGACACGTAGAGACATATTCTGCTCACTATATAACCTGCAGCAGGGATTGCGCAATCCAAGTGGAGACGGAGCGTGGTTGAAAATGTTGCGCGATCTGAAGGCGGAGCTTGATTTTGCCTCCTAGTCCTCATCCTATTTGAACAGGAAATGAGGAAATTCAGTGATTTAGAATAAGAAAAATATTAAAAGTTGTTTAAGTTAAATAGAAAAATTGTTTATAGTACAAATCATTGTATAAATACAACAATTTAATGTTTAATATTTTTTATCATTTAACTTTCTAGTGACCGCACGTCACTGTCAGTTACATGTAAGCCTGCAGGTCAGGAACACATTTTGAGTAGGTGAGATGTTTGCTTTAAGAGGAAACACAGAAAGTTTAAATGACTGTTTGTGGTGCAGATGTTCCTTCTGAAGAATGGGTTTTTATATTTAGACACGCTCAGACTGTCTCTGCAGAAACACGAGCGAGGAAACTCCTGCTGAGAACTAACCTGAAATCAAAGAAACCCCAAACAAATAAAGCTGCTCTAAAAACGAGGAGGAGGAGGAGGAGGGGGGGCATCCTTTTAAATATCGAAATCTGGTTTCTGTTTTGGTTTTTCCTGTAAGAAACTCTGCCCAGCTTAGAGCGTCTGATCTGAGAGCACCGTTAACGTGACTAAGATGTTCCAGTTTATGTTGAAGATGTTGATTCTGTAAATTCATTAGCTTGATTTCCTCTCTGCACAGCGTTCTCCTCAGATTTGCTCCTTTAATCTCATTCGGAGCAACGAGGAAGGGCAGGGAAACAAACGATGTGCCGTACGTGGTGATAAATTCTCTAAAAGGTGATTTTTATTTTTAGGCCGGCTCAGACAGGCTCCTCTGTCTGTGTTGTGGCTGCTGCTGCAGGTGACCTTGTTTTACTCGCAGCTTTTAGTCTCGTTATGTTGCTGCATATCCCAGAAATTATTCAGTCTGTCTCTAAGAGCTTTGCACTCTTGAAGGAATGTTTTACTTTGAGCCTGAATTTCTGAGGAATAAAACGACTCCTGGAGGTGAGGCTCCACTGATGACTGGCTCTCACAGGGGGAGGAGGGGGGAGCCACAGTGGGCTGCACCTCCTTTGTTCTCACTCCAGTGTGTCTGACCTGCTTCAATAGCTGCTGTCAAGCTGCTTCTCACTGACAATGCCACTTTGTTGTGCTGCTGATTGGCAGCTCAGGATCTATCAGGTTACAGAGCACCTGGGAGCAGAGCCGGCACTCACCATTTATTTCTTCCACTTCTAGATGGAGCATCTGCAGGGGGCTTTCAGGGGGGGTTTAAAGGAATAGAACGTTTTTTTTTATTTGAGCAATTAGTATCTTACCTGCAGCAGACAGAGCTGTCACTTTGAAGAATCTGTAGCTGTGTTTCCTTTGACCATGAAAATGTGCAAATTAGAATTTCGAAAATAAACTTGCTCAATGGAAACACGTCAATTCTGAAAAAAGTTACGTTTTTCGACAAAATGTTTTTGCGCTAGGATGAGGTGGTTTTTCGGCCGTATCAAAATTGGTGTTTTTCGCAAAACTGCAATGGAAACACTTTTTTCGCATCACGGGAGTCACGTGAACAACAACCGTCTGTTTCTATTGGTGAAAAAGACGATGATGAAGATAACAGGAAGTAGAAATAGTAATAATATCACAGAAGTAGTAAAAGAAAGTAGTAAGCTCACTGACTACAATTTCCCAAAAACACAGCATACGTAGCCGCTCCCAAGTAGGGACTTGTCTCTGGAAAGCCTCGATAAAAGACGCCGACGTCTCCTCTGATGATGAGCGCTAGTGTCGTGGTAGCAACATGCTATGTGTTTACATCCATTGCCGCCATGTTTGTAATGACTTATCATGAGAACAAACATATTCATGCGTGACTTGAATAACATTTCTTACTTAATGGAAACACTGCAATTGCGAAACTGTGTTTTCGACATTAACAGAATATCAACAAAGTTTTGCGCACATTTGTAATGGAAACACAGCTAGTGAGAAAGAAGTCAGTCTTATGCTACATTCACACAGAACGTGTTTTGAGCAGCAAAAATGTGCCCAACGCCTCCAGTTGGGTGCGCTACGTTCAGACCAGGACAGAGACTACAGGTGCTGGTCATAAAATTAGAATATCATGAAAAAGTAGATTTATTTCAGTAATTCCATTTAAAAAGTGAAACTTGTATATTATATTCATACATTACATACAAACTCATATATTTCAAATGTTTATTTCATTTAATTTTGATGATTACAAACGACAACAAATGAAAATCTCAAATTCAGCATATCAGAAAATTAGAATCTTGTGAAAAGGTTCAAAATGGATGGCACCTGGTACCACACTCTAATCAGCTAATTAACTCAAACCACCTGCAAAGGCCTTTAAATGGTCTTTCTGTCTAGTTCTATAGGCTACACAATCATGGGGAAGACTGCTGACTTGACAGTTGTCCAAAAGACGACCATCGACACCTTGCACAAGGAGGGCAAGACACAAAAGGTCATCGCTAAAGAGGCTGGCTGTTCACAGAGCTCTGTGTCCAAGCACATTAATAGAGAGGCGAAGGGAAGGAAAAGATGTGGTCGAAAAAAATGTACAAGCAAGAGAGATAACCGCACCCTGGAGAGGATTGTGAAACAAAACCCATTCAAAAATGTGGGGGAGATTCACAAAGAGTGGACTGCAGCTGGAGTGAGTGCTTCAAGAACCACCACACACAGACGTATGAAAGACATGGGTTTCTGCTGTCGCATTCCTTGTGTCAAGCCACTCTTGAACCTCAGACAGCGTCAGAAGCGTCTTGCCTGGGCTACAGAGAAACAGGACTGGACTGCTGGTGAGTGGTCCAAAGTCATGTTCTCTGATGAAAGTAAATTTTGCATTTCCTTTGGAAATCAAGGTCCCAGAGTCTGGAGGAAAAGAAGAGAGGCACTTCATCCACGTTGCTTGAAGTCCAGTGTAAAGTTTCCACAGTCAGTGATGGTTTGGGGTGCCATGTCATCTGCTGGTGTTGGTCCATTGTGTTTTCTGAGGTCCAGGGTCAACGCAGCCACATACCAGGAAGTTTTAGAGCACTTCATGCTTCCTGCTGCTGACCAACTTTTTGGAGATGCAGATTTCATTTTCCAACAGGACTTGGCACCTGCACACAGTGCCAAAGCTACCAGTACCTGGTTGAAGGACCATGGTATCCCTGTTCTTAATTGGCCAGCAAACTCTCCTGACCTTAACCCCATAGAAAATCTATGGGGTATTGTGAAGAAGAAGATGCAGTACACCAGACCCAACAATTCAGAAGAGCTAAAAGCCACTATTAGAGCAACCTGGGCTATCATAACACCTGAGCAGTGCCACAGACTGATCGACTCCATGCCACGCCGCATTGCTGCAGTAATACAGGCCAAAGGAGCCCCAACTAAATACTGAGTGCTGTACATGCTCATACTTTTCATGTTCATCCTTTTCAGTTGGCCAACATTTCTATAAATCCTTTGTATTTATTGGTCTTCAGTAATATTCTAATTTTCTGATATGCTGAATTTGAGATTTTCATTTGTTGTCATTTGTAATCATCAAAATTAAACGAAATAAACATTTGAAATATATGAGTTTGTATGTAATGTATGAATATAATATACAAGTTTCACTTTTTAAATGGAATTACTGAAATAAATCTACTTTTTCATGAGATTCTAATTTTATGACCAGCACCTGTAGATGTGCATCTGAAGAGGGAGGAGTGTCTTGGTTTTATCCGTTCTGTCTTTAATGACGGGTGAAATAAAGATATAATAAAGAAAATGGCTTTGCTTTATTTACTGAGAGCAAGCGATATATAAATGTTATTTTGCACACGGAGCTCTTGTTTCCTGGTTTAAAATAAGTTTTGTCCAAACCACGAGGAGGACCTCGGTCCTGTTCTCCCACACAGGTGCCGGTTTGACAAGGACCGGTTCCTGYGCTGCCTCCCATTAGCTGCAAGGGACAAAAATTCACAGTGTGAGAGGAGCCGGGTTTGATTCTGGCTCATTACACGTCTGTTGTCTCTGAAACGTGAATTGCGTCGCAGCGCCTCTGTGGACGAGCCGTGATTTGTTGATCCGTGTTTATGTTGAGTTTTCTTTTTTTCTTACTTTAAATGTGACGCTTGTTGTGATGGAATTGATTCAGCACGGGTCATGTTGTTCAGTTTGAAAAGATTCTTGTTTTGAAGACCTCGTTAATCCAGAAACAAGCGTCTCTAATTTCTGAGCGAAGCAGAAGACTCCAGACRGAGTGGCTGTGTCTGCTCTCATCTGATTGGTTACAGCTTGTAAGATCGCTCCAAGTTACTGAAGGAGGAAATATAAACTTGTGATGTGAACAGTGTTTTCCTGGCAGAGGTCAGTCCCATCAGAGATTAGATGGAACCACGGTTTGATGTAAATGTGTTGCTCAAATTGGTAAAATTTTTCAGTAGAAAGATTGATTTTCCATCTTTAACATTACCCCAGGCTTTTAATTTTGTTTCTTAAAACAATATTTTTAAAATAAAGCAGCTGGCCACGACGTATGAAGCAGCTCTTTTTTCTTTGAGCCAGTCGACGCAGCAGAGGACCTGCCACATGAAGCCTCTTAGAATTGATCTTGTGGAGCGTGAGTCTATGAAGGATGAGCCTCTTGGTCCCCTGAGGAAACAAATCCATTAAGATGTTCTCATTCTGTTCATTAGGTTTCTCCTTACAGTCCGTCTCCCAACTGGACAACTCTGCAGGCTGTTGTCACTTTTTTACATTTTTCATTTTCCTGTAGCAAAATACCAAAAACACTTGAGTCACACTGAGTGGACGGTTTCCCTAAAATGGTCAAGAACGACCTGAGTAAAAGTTTTAAGACTTTTTATGACCTCCATCTTTAGGCTTCTGCTCATTGTTTCTCTTCTGTAATGAAGCCTTTTTTTTCTGCGCTCAGCCTGTGAATCCTTCATCTAATCTGCACTATAAACCAGCAGAGGACATGTTTAGCTCAGAATTACTGCCCTCTGCTAGCAAACGAGGCTAACTGACACAGATTTGACATGCAGGAGTGGAAGCATGAAAGATAATTCAAGATGTTGTTCCTGGAAAACAAACGATGCCGTGAGAAGAAGAGGCTTCTGGCACGGTGATGCTAAGGATCCAGTATAATTTTAGCATCAATTAGTTGTGATAGTTTAGATTTTAGATGCAGAAAATGCCTTGAATTGATTTTAAAACAAAAGCAAACTGAGCCTAAAGAGAAAATGTTTTAAAGAAAAGCATTTCTTGGTTCATAGACATGTTTTAATGAATAAAAATTGGATATTGATTGATTGAAGGCTGTGAATAATTATATATTTTTAATGAAATAAAAATATAAAGTCTGTAATTAAATCTAACATTAACCACGTTTTGATATATAAACTGCTGAATTAGCACAAATGAGTTACATACAGAAAAACGTAGTGTGAATGAGCGTTCACACAATAATGTAACGGTGAAAAAAAAATCACTCAAACAGATTTTCACTGTGCTGTGAGCTCATCATCTCGAGTGTTTTTAAAGATCTGAGTCGAAACAGGAGAAGGGGTGTGGGGGGACCAGAAGCAGCTGCAGGTGACGCTGCRTGTTTCCTGAAGCCCGCTTCCAGCCTCACGCATCAGTCACAGAGCTCAGCTTTCATTTACTCCAGACAGCTCCTGTACATCGATAACCGCTGGCCCTGAAACAACTTCAGCCATCGATCGGAACACGTGAGCGGCCCGAAACATGTGAACTCTAAATCTGAACAAATGTTCGTTTCGTTAAAACAAACGAAAAGGAAGCAAAATGTGCAGCAGGACTTTAGAGGTCACAACTTAATGGACATTTTATGAGCAAGACAAAGGAAATGCTTGATTTATACCCATATTTGTTGCTGCCTGATTACCTGCCACCATGGACAGCAGCTGATGATGTAATCGACTGTCAGAGCTGCACAATATATCACAAATTTATTGTTCTCACAATACAAGCTGATGCAATATCAATATCACAAAGAACTGTTTGGACTGCAGTAAACCACAACATTCATGTTCTGCTAATGTTTGGCAGAGTTGTAAAGTAAGTACAAATACTTTGTTACTGTACTTACCGGTAAGTAGAATTTTTGCGTATCTGCACTTTACTTGAGTAATTATTTTCAGCCTACTTTTTACTTCTACTTCTAACATTTTTTTGAAAAGACAAGAAGTAGAAAGTCGTTACTTTTATTTTTTCTTGTTTTCATTCCAGCTTGTAAAAAATAAAAACTATCCATATAAACTGTGCCTGCTATAGAGTGAATTTAACTGTGGTTGAATGAGAAGTATAAATATATAAAACTCTGATAGTGTATTAGTTTGTACACAAACAAATCATGTCACACTCCAGCAGGACAGAATCATTCAAATAAAAGGACTGTACTTAAGAAGTATTTGTATTTCATGAATTATATTMTTACATTTGGCCGCAGCCCTCAGATAGATTTTCATTTTGGGGAAAAGCTTTGTGCAGCCTTGATATATGTATATAAACTGAAACAGCTGGACTAGTGCATCCTAAATTTAACATCCATTCATTCTTTTAATACAACAGTCATTTCTGCAGTTTTTGGGGAGGTCACCTCCTAATAAATGTCCTTACAGAAAATCTAACTGCTCTTTTTAAATCTATACTTTTACTTTTAATACTTAAGTACAACAAATTTAGATACTTTAAGACTTTTACTCAAGTAATATTCCTAAAGGAGACTTTAACTTTTACCAAAGTAAGTTTTTGGTAAGATACTTGTGCTTTTACTCAAGTATCACTTTGTTTTGGATTTATATCTAATAGTTTTGGTTTAATTKTCTATCAACCAGAAGAGTTTTGCCTTTTTCACCATTAGCACATTCATGCTAAGCTAACTACAGTATATCTCACACTGCTAACACAATCAGCCTAGTTCATCCAAATATGGAAAAATGTCTTTTTAAGGATTACGTCTTTCCTGATGAATGGAAACCCACTGACAAACATGTCAGACGGGAAAGAGATTCAGGGAGGAAAAAACATTCATAAACCACAAAAACACTTGGATCCATTGAACTGATTTCTTTAACCAGACTGAGAACACATTCAGAAATATAAACGCTGGGTTTTCTGTCTATTTCTGTGTCCACAGATGGGATGTTTGGGAGGTGTCACTCTGTTCCAGTGAAGGATTTTTACACCTATGATGTCTCTCCATCTGTTGTGCAACGATTCAGGATTCTGCTGGAGAAGCTGTCCAGCAGAGGTACAGACACAAACCCTTTCATCCCAACGAAACACAAAACTATGGAGGACCGAAACTGACATAAACATAAAAGCAGAAATATATGAATGGACCAATAAATAAATAAATAAATAAATGCACTTAAAATGCACCAATTAAAATAAAAGGAGAAATTTACCTCATGTTTTATTTTTTAATTGAACTTCATATTTATTTTCCAGCTTAGTTCTAATAAGTTATGTATTTTGGTACATAATTTACATTTTACAGTTTTTATAAACATGTTTTTCCTTTTACTTGTACATGCATTTGTCTCCATTAAATGTTTATATTTAGTTTTTTACAATGAATTGGTTTGGACATCTTCCAGAGGAGGGACAGTGGGTATATTTGTTTGGACACAGCCTCAATTAAGTTTAAAGTTAAGTGGTAAATGATATAATTTATTGGAACTAAGCTTGAAAAATAAATATGAAGGTCAATTCAATTTTAAAACATGAGGTAAAGTTCTCCTTTTTTAAATTTAATTGGTGCATTTTAAGTGTATTCTTATTTATTGTCCATTTATATATTTCTGCTTTTCTTTCTAATTATGTCAGTTTCAGTCTTCCATACAAGTGAGGAAGAAGTGAGGGTAATTTAATGTTTTTCATTAATTTTTGCTTTAGATTATTAATAAAAATGTTCTGATTTACGGTACTTGGTTGTCTGTTATTTTAAGGTGAAAAATAAAATATAGGCTAAAGTTATTTGAGCTTCTGACTTGAAAACCAAACATTTTTAAATATCCTGTTTTTTGTTGTTCTGTGCTTCTGAAATCATAAAAATGTTATATTTTCTAAATCTAATCGAAATTTTACTGCTTGTTMTCACACACAACAAATGCATCACTGCAAAGTGCTGTTTCTCCAAAAATAAAAACAAACAACAAAAGAGCAGACAATTTCCAGTTATTTAAATTTTATCTCAATTAGTAGAACAGAAAGTTTAAACATTTATTTTCTTTTATCTAACAAAATAAGGTAAATTTAAGATTTAGCAGCTAAACTTTGACCTAACAAATAATTTAATTTAAATTTTCAATAATAAAACATCCTGATCCTTTAACCTAAAACCATGAAACAGTTTTACACAGTGATCCAGCTCAGCCTTAATAGGACTATAAAATATGTGATAATTTAAAAAAACAGAACAAAACTTTGACAAGATAAAGAGTTTAGATCTATTTTTCTCCACTTGTGTTGTGGACTGAATAAGATGTTTTCTTTGAATCGGTAAAAGCCAAGGCCATCAGCTGTGAGGAGCTGCTGTTGATGATGTGAACCAGCAGGGGGAGCCAGAGATRGTCTCTGTCCCTCTGGGCAGCTGCTGCTGTTTCAGCCACTTTCATCATCCACTTCTGCTTTGAACAAAAGAGCCCTCCTGAACGAGAACCAGCCGAGCCTTTCCTTTCATCTCAGAGATTTCTCAGTAAAAAGTCAATAAAGTTCAGCTTCTGGTTTGGAAGAGGTTTTTTTTTTTTTTGTTTGTTTCTTTGCTCGACTTTTTGTCTTTGACTTTGAGTCCTTTTATCACATCGTTTCTTTTATGAAGGAAAAACAAACAGAACTTCTTCTTTCACCTGTTCTGTTTGCAGGTGTCTCCACAGTGAGTCCTCCTCCATCTCACTCTGTCCTCTGTGTCCCCAGTGTCCTCTGTCCTCACTCCATCTACCTTCATGTCCTCTTAACTGCATCCATATGTCTCCTCTTTGTCTTTTTCCTGGAGCAGCGTTCTACCAGTATACCCACTGTCCCTCCTCTGGACATGTCCAATATACCCACTGTCCCTCCTCTGGACATGTCCAATATACCCACTGTCCCTCCTCTGGACATGTCCAATATATCCACTGTCCATCCTGTGGACATGTCCAAACCAGTATACCCACTGTCTGTCCTCTGGACATGTCCAATATATCCACTGTCCCTCCTATGGACATGCCCAAACCACTATACCCACTATCTCTCCTATGGACACGTCCAAAATATCCACTGTCCCTCCTCTGCACGCGTCCAAACCGTCTCAGTCTGACTCCTCTAACTTTGTCTCTCAGAGGTTTAGCCTGTGTTCTGCTTGTTGATCCGGGTACCAGGATACCTGAGTACCTGGGTACCTGGATACCTGGGTACTAGGGCCCTGACAGATCTAGTCTGTTGTCGTTTGGATGAAAGTTTGTTTTTGAATAAATGTGTTTGCTGGTTCTTCTTCTCTAGCTCTTAGTTTTATAAAGAACATTTGTTTTCTCACTCCTAGATGTGCGTAATAGAATTATTTTGGATCTCATCTGGGATTCAAACCAAAGACCTCTCAGGACGCTGACTCTCTTCCTCTGCTTAGAGATTCTTTGTGTAAATGAAAGAACTTAAAATTGAGCTTTACTCCTTTTTTTTTTAATCCAAATCAAAGCAGTGTTTGGAATGGCTGCAGTAAGCAGCCTCTGTCTTGGTCACCTTCAGACTCTCCAACCCTGTCTGGGTCCTGAAGTTGCACGTTGAAGCATCAAACATCTCAATTTGCAGTTAGCTTCTCGCTCACATTTAGCCTGGTTAGTGAAAGGCGTAAAGTCACTTTGAATATCATGGCAGGGCTGCCAGCGTTTATTAACCTGTGGTGTCAGATGCCGTCTGTTCGCCCGATGCCAGCTCCCGTTTTCACAGCCGCCTTCGCTGCCATTAAAAGCTTGGTTTTATGACTCTTTGATGGGGAAAGCTTTGCCCGACACGCTGCACAGCTGTTAGAGATGTTTGAGCCTGATTCCTGGCAGTAGGGGATTGTAATTCATGTTTCAGAGGGCTGAAGAAACCGTCCGGGGTCGGAAATGTTCCGAGACGAGCTGAGCTGCTGGGATTGAATTCTCCCCTGATCAGAGATGGAGAGAACACTCAGTGTTGGTGGAAAAYGTTCGTAGAGATTAAGTTTTAGTTTGGAGTTTTCTTCAAACGCCTGCCGGTGATTCTGGCTGCTCTCAGAGACAAACGTTTACAGGAAATTTAAGAGTTTCTGACCAAATCAAAGAGTTTGGTCTGAGCAAGGACTTTCACAGAATTAATGACTTTGAGTTAAGTTGGTTAAACAGAACTTCTTTCACCTGTTCTGTCTGCAGGTGTCTCCACAGTGAGTCGTCCTCCTCCACCCCACTCTGTCCTTTGTGTCCCCATTGTCTTCTGTCCTCACTTCATCTGCCTCAATGTCCTTTCTGACTGCATTTATATGTCTCCTCTTTGTCTTTTTCCTGGCAGCAGCATTTCTGACATCCTTTTACCAATATACCCACTGTCCCTCCTATGGACATGTCCAAACCAGTA